GCAACAGGTAATGAATGGAGTTTTAAAACCTACAGAACAAAAATAGCTTTTTTGGTGCCTCTGACTTTTTAAGTCCACTCTGAAAGCGCTCAAAGGAAAATGTGAACAAAGACTAATGACAGGGGCCCTTTCATATTAAAATAATATATGGAGCAACAGTGAGTGAGAGGAATGCAATGTTTGAAAAAGCACAGACTAAATAAAACACCCATGTACTCACTAGTTCTCTCTCTTCTAGGGTGGTGTCTCAACACAGCTACAAAGGAACATCTTGGGGAGGTAATGCTGTCATTTTCTCAGGTACAAATCTGTACTTCTGAGATGTTTACTGTCTCCACGTAAAACTGCTGAAGACCCCTTGACACTGACAAATAGGCTTCATTACGTCTGTGCCAAAGGTATTTGCTCTCATCTCTCAGGAATGATACAGGCGTTGATCAAGGACAAAGCACCAAACCCTAAAACAATTCACTTGGCCTGGGGGCTTTATTCAGCCTGGCTCTGCAAGAGCCTGACAGAGCAGCCCCTACTGCAGCAGCAGCACTGAGAAAGGTGACTGAGACCCAGCGCTGGCTGGGGCAGGACAAAGCAGTTGCAGTTGCAAAGCCCAGTGTCTGAGTCCCACAAAACTGCTCTGGTTACTGACCTTGGCCTCCTCCACTTCTCCATGCCTGTGGATATATGGTGCCTACACCCATGGATTAAATCCATTCCCACCTCATGCTGCCTGGAAAGTCCCAGGCTTTTGCAGCTGCTGACCCCACAAAGCCGCACTGTCACCTTCTTCCAGAAATTTTTAACTAACGACTGAAATAAGGTTGTACAGAAATACAGAATGCTGATTACTACTACAGTAAATGAAAATCCTGTGGAGGTGAGAGACAGGGAACAAATCTCTTGGGTTTCAGACGTTAAAATTATGTCCCACATTACCTCAAAGCAGGCATCTTCTTTCTTTGTTGACTTCTTCAGGACGATTCATACAATGTTTTAAACTCCTTAGGCTTCTCCAAGTGCTAATGGGGTAGCCATGATGAACTAGTACTGGATTTAACCATGAGCAACTTCAGATGTTTAAACATTCTTATAGTGAAAAGAACCAATATTACTCAGTCTGTAGGACTCAGATGTCCTATTGGAAGTATCAATAGCAACTTCAGTGTTGCTTGAAAGGACTGAAATAGCCACTACAGATCATAAAATAGCATTCTGACTTGTTTTCTTCTCCAACTGCAAAGTAAAAGCAGCAAAGTGAAGAAGGTGGGTCCCACCAGGGCTGCACAGGTGCACACCTCTTGGAAACAGCATTTACACTCTCCCCATTCCTGGGGCCAGCACCAGCACCTGTGCCAAGTGCGACACAGATGAACACAAACCAGGAATGCAATTCATGGCTGCTGGTTTTCCCATTTTTAAAGATTATTCCTTTGTGGAGTCACACATTAGTAATTTTCTTTAAGTTCACTGAAGCCAAAACTAGCTCAATGCAAGTCCAGTGAGCCAATTTCTCACAGTTTCTCCCTGCAGAAAGAGTTGATAAACCTGAGCTGCGAGATTGCCTGTGAGCCCTGAAGGCTCTCCATCACACCTGATACCTCCTGATACCTTTATTTGATGATCTGGCAAAACAAAAACAAGGAGCTGATACTAGAAAGAGAAATGTAATACCAGAGCTTGTGCTTTATGCAATGCTCTATCTATCAGAGGTTTCACTTGCAGCTTTCCCAGTCAGAGACAATACATAATTCAAGCCCGCCCCCCAGTGGACTCCATGCCCACACCAGCACACCAAGTTTTGAGGACACTGGTGGCAAGTATTGAGGAGCTAGATGACAGCATACTTAAAAACCCTAGGAGTTACTCCCAGAGAATTAAATTCAACTGTTACCATCTATAATATTCTGTTTCTGGTCTCCATTAGGATGAAAGGAAACACACCTTCCAACCAACAAATCTGTTCATACTATCATAACACCACATTGTTTTTCATCCTGAGTCCAAACTACTGTGAATGTTTCAGTGGCTATGCACACAAAATAATGTAGTTTGGAAAAGATCTTTAAGATCAGCGAGCAAATGAAAAAAAAAAAGTTCTCAAGCACATACTGCTTAGGTAAACAACTGTCAGCAAGATCAGCCTGCCTAAAAAAAATAAGGTACAGATTATGCAATGCTGAGTTTCTGTGATCTTTTCTCAGAAAGTTTCCTACTGAAACTTGCTCACTCTTGCGTGCATAGCTGTCATACTTCATTTATACTTATCCAAAACTGCACTAATTACTCTGGGTCATACGTGAATAATTAACTTGTTTTGCCTGAAGCAAAAGTAAAGGCCAAGATAAAAAAATGCAAGATGAGATTAGTACATGGCCAAGTACAAGATGAGTACGCTCATGGCCAAGGCTACATGTAAGCCTGAATATACCAACTTCTCATCAAGACCTCTGAAGTGTCCTGTAAAGCACATTTCATTTTAACAGCATGACACAGGTTTTCTCACTGGATCCACTGGTTAAATTCAGCACTGACCATTTGCTCTGGACTACACTTCTTTCATCATGCCTGCTGCAATGTCACTATAAAGCAGTTATCAGCTGTTTAATGAAGGTTTTTTATTTGATGTTATTTTCCTTTTTCCCTGAAGTAAGAACCAGCTACCAGCATGACTACAGAACAGTTCAGGCAGTTGTATGTTGGTGTGGGAATTCGTTTCAGTCAGCTCAGTCTGGCAGGTATCCGGGCTTCCTCTGTGCTCAGCAGTGAAGGAGAATCACCTTTGCAAGCCAATCCCTGGGTATACCTGAAGAGGGAATAACATGCCCCAGAGGTGCCAATCCCTCTTCTCTGACTACCCACAGATCCCAGACAGATAGCAAAGCCTCGACACCAGCTGCCAGGGAACCACTGCTGGGGATACGGATCCTACGATTACAGCAGGCAGACAAACTCCTTTTGTGCTGGTGGAGAGCTACATATGCTTAAACTGGGATTTACCTACATCCTCTCAAGCCTTCAGTGTCTACTTCTGAGCACCCTACGTGCACAGCCTGAGATTCAGTGGTGTTGGTTACCTAACACTGATCGGGGTGCATTACCTGCAAGCCCCAGTCTGCCCCAAGAGATCCCTGACAAATTACAGACATCCAACAAATGTAATTCTCAGTGTTTTAAAATGTCACAGCAGAAAAGAGCCTCTTCTGTTTCTGGGCGGCCTTGGGTGTGACATTTCTGAGGGTGTCCACATCTAGTTTGGTAACTCACATGATGACTGCTTATATTCTTGGGCTGGTCGCCAGTCTGGCAGGATAGAGAAGAGTGAGTTCCCTGGGTGTAAGCAGATAAATGGTACTTTTGTTTCAAACCAAACCAAACCCTCTATGGCTCTTCTCTGCTGGGCTCTCTGTCTTTGAATCTGTTACAGCTGTGTATTGCTCAAAAAGGGTGATACAGGCAAGAAAAGAAACAACACATAAATCCAGCAGGGAGAAGGAAAATGACAGAGTAGGGTTAGACTGGGATAAAAGAGGCAAAACAAAAATGACAGAAAATGGTGACAGGGTAAGGGTAAATAAAAGATATTAGAAGAGTAGGGATAAAAGGCCACATTTAAGATGGGAAAGAAGAGGGAAGACGAAAAAATAATTAAGACAGGACATGACAAATAACGATAGAGCAGAAGGCTTGTCTTAATGGGAAGATATGAAGAAACCAAGAAAATTGGCCTGGAAGGAAATGTAATGCAATTTCCAGATCACCAGAACATTTCTGTTGTTTAAGGAAGGGACTCATACCTTACAGAAATTGTTTCAGTAGGGAATATTAGGATGGAGCCTTGTTCCATACTCCTCTCAACAAAAGTCCTACCAGCCAAAAGACATACTGGAAAAAGTTGTGGAGATGCAGCCTCAATTGAAATGGAGAAGCCTTCACTTAATTTTCTAAAACAATATGTCATACTCTTTAGAGTACATCAGATCACAGAAAGCACAAGCAGATCCTCAGAAAAGAACAACATTTTCCTATACACTGGATAAACACCATCTCTCCTCCAAGGAGTTACAGGAATGCTGAAGTCCATTAAGGGCACAGAGATCAATAAATTTAATTTAAGCAAATCAGCATCAGAGTAAGGAATAGCGCTGAGGCTCAGAGTGTTCTTTTCACTGCCTTTCCAGCCATCCAATCAATCCCCTTTTACACTTGCTCTCGAAAACTTGAAATTGCTGCTCCTGAGTTTATCCACAATAAAATTACAACTATTACACATCACTGCTTCCGCTACCCTTACATGCCTGTCATACAGATTAGTAAGTAAGCCCATAAAGTTAATAAGGACAGCAGGTATTGAGTGAGTGTTAAGTATGGTCACCCCTGAATGGGGCCCAGCTCCTCTAAGCATCTCTCTTGCACCTCTGCTGTAGGGGTCTAGTGGGACTGATTCTCATATAGTGATGACTTCCCCCTCCAGTATGGGACAGGCACCTCTGAAAGCCTCCAGAAAGACAGACTGAGGACTTGAGTTTACCCTTGAATTGAACTGAAGGATTTCAGGAGCTCCCAGCATCCAAAGGCTACATCCGTAAAAGCAAGTAGTTTCAAAAGAAAAAGGTCTGTAGAGTGAAAAAAGTGTTGCTGAACATTCATGACCACACTATATGCTCCTGAGGGTTTTCTCTGGTTGGTCCCAAGCAATGACCACACTTTGTTTGTTGAAGCACAGCAAGTACATCCCCAGAGGCCACTTTTGTGTTGATTTTCATCCAAGAAGAGTCTGGTTGGTGCTGCCACCAGTATTGTGCTGCCAAGAGGGGATGACAGGGGGATTCCACTCAAAAGAACACTCCTGATCTGCACCAGAATGTCAATGCACTCACAGACATCTGTTATTCAGGTGCAGGCCTTTGGCTCCTAGTGTAGGATGACAAGCTCATTATGACCCAAGCTGGACAGAAAGGCACGTGCTTGTCTTAACCACAGTGCACAGTGCCAGCAAATCTCACCTGTGTGCGTTCTCCGGTGAGCCTTCAGGTGGGAGCTTTTTGTGTACACTTTGTTGCATCCCTCAAAGTCACACCGATGGATGCGCCGCTTCCTGGAGTCTGGAGACTCAGACCTCCTCTGACGCCTTGTGCTCTCAATACTGAATGGTGAAATTGAACTGAAAAACAGAACAGAAGCAAAAAGTTAAGTAAGAGCATGGTGTACAGCCTGGGCCCCAAAAAATCAGCTGCAACAGAAGTGACTGTGCTAGAAGGGACGTAAAAAATGAATTATCTATTTTCCTTTACACATTTTGACACAATTAGTGCTTGAACTGGAGCATATTCTGCAATATGAAATAACTGAAGTTTTGATTTAGAAGTGCTTATTGCCCAAAAAACCCCACCATGATGCTTGAAATACTGCTCCAATAATGAAGCAGCCTGACTTTATCTGAGCTCTATTTCTATTTGACATGTGTCTGGGTACAAGCTCACTGAACTGTTTTCTAAACAAGTTTATATATAGCCTCCATAACTTCTCTTTGACAAGTTTAAATAGATAAAAAGCCTGAAACCTTTTATGAAAAAATGTTTCCAGTACCCAGATCTGAACTATGGATCTTCACATTAGGCCCAACACCTGTTGTTTGCTTGAATACAGACTGCTAACAGATCCAGATCACCCCGCAGCAGCGATTTTTCCATTTTCTCATTTAGCATTTCTCAATCTGTCATGTGCAAGCCAATAAAATTTATTTTCTTTCAGACCACTGATAAATGAAGTTTAAGAACAAGGCCAGAGAACAATTCCCACAGAAACACATAAATACTTATCAAATATACTCCATTTACAGCAATGTCCCACAGCCTATCAGTTACCCTAATTTTAAGTAATTAAAATACAGCATTGAAGTAATGTTGTGTTAGTTTCTAAGTACAGTGTGTGCTGGACCTATTGCTTGAAAAAAGCCTTGCTACCGCAATGCATTTGGCTTGGTTAGATAAATTATTATCAAGTCAGAAGGCCGTGATTCAAACCCTCATTGACTGCCAGTAATCATACCACACAGCCATAAATCATTATTAACTGATCATCCTATCAACCTCACTGTGATTATATTGCACAGCAACCACCATCACCCACAGCTACAGCAGCCTGTTTAGTTAAGTACTGGGACAACTCTGCCCTTCATCAGGTTTCTGGGGCTTCCCAGGTTTATTGACATTCAGGGTAAATGGGCTATACACTCATTAGCCTGCTCTTTTAGACTCTTAAGATCAATCTGAAGGAAAAGGATGAACCTTTGGAAAATCCATGGTACTAAGGCAAGCATTTGAAAGGAGCATTGATATTGATGCATCTGCTGGGAAGCACTTCTGTTAACACTGACCTGCAGGCTCCTGTCAGAGGAGCTCCTGCACAGCTGTAGCTGTTACGGCATACACTGAACTCCTGGAGCTTTCCAGAACTTGCTGAGGACTGCTCATATGGGGTTAAAAGTTTGTGTAAAGCATCTCACACCATTAGCACATGATTTCACTGATGTTCTAATTCTCTGCATACAAATCTCTAAGCCTTGAATTAACCATAGTCCAAATTCTGCAGTTTTATTTTTGTTTAAATATTTTCACAGTAAAATCCTAACCTGAAGCACTAATGGGGGGGTGGGGGGGAAGTACTTCCTTTATGAACAGTACTCTTTAAATACCTATTCATATTTTACCTGCAGGCAAGAGATTCTCCAGATTAATTTTTTTGCCTATAATATGATGCATGTAAACAGATGTGCAGAGAATTCCTGGAATGGAGACAGAAGTGGGCAGAGAGCTGTAGTAACAACATTAGCTGGCAAAAATTGTCCCCAAGAGGCTGAGAAAGATTAGCACTTTAACTGTATGACTGGAATACAGATATGTCTAGCTCTCACAGAAATGGCTTAGGAATTGCATTTAAGCAATTGTTCTGAATCTCAGAACAAATAAAAGTCTTGGGTTAGACAATTCACTGAGAATGGTTTCACTACTCCAGTAGGGTTTTCTTTTTTTTAAGCATCCTATCAGCTGAAATAAAAGCAAATTTGTAAATCAAATGTTAAAGCTCAATACTAAACACAAAAAATCCAGTGCTCAAAACTAGGAAATCCTGATCTTTAAATATTTGTGCATCTTTTTTCTGCAAGTATCTTATGAGCTGTCTTAAAATCCTATTTTGTAACAGAGTGTTCAGATCCTGTATAGTACAGGTCATTTAAATAGGAGGAAGATCAAGCTTAAAATGCTGCTGCAATTTCCAGCCCCAAGACAAACCGAACCTAGAGAAGAGTCAGCACCTCATGAAAAGCTCTTTGTCACATATGAGAAAGTGATCTCACTGCTGGGAACCACTCTGTGCTTTCCCCGGTATTTATACACAAGAGGATGGCACAGAGCAGGGCCATGAAGGTGGCACATGATCAGTGCTGCTGCTTTTAAACTGGATTGCTCCCTCTTTCTAAAAAGTATAGCACTCTGCCTATCCCACAGGAGAGAAAATAACTGAGTAAGCCACAGGAGGTGATGAATATTGTCACCATCCCCTGAGAGCTTCACAGTCTTCGCTTGCTCAGCACAGCAAGGTGAAAAGCTCTTGTCAGCTAGAACCAGCAAATGTCACCTCACGCCTTCCCCTCACAGCCCTGCAGCTTAAATGAGAAACCAACCAGCAGAGGCCACCCACATGGCAAGTGAGAGCATATGTCCAAGGTGGTTTTGCTCTGCCACTTCAACTCCTGTGGCATAGGGGGACCCGCAGAGCAGACATCTTCAAGGGTGGTAAAGGAGCCAGAATCTACCTGACACCACCAGTGTGGTTTTAGCCTTGCAAAAGCTGTGTGGCTTTACATGGGGATATCACTAAAGACCCTAAAAAAAGCACAAAGTGCTTTTTTGAGCTTCCTCAGGTTAGTCCCTCTCACAGGAACTTCCATATGATTTGCTGATGGTTCCTTCCCTTTGCCATGCAAACAGCAAAGGGACACCTTCTCCTTTCTCCAGCAATTTCTATAAAATACCCTCACTGATCACACAGACAGAAGTAAAGTCCTCAAAACCACATTTGGTGCCTCTTGAAGACCACAGGGGCTGTGCCAGATGTCTCTGGTCAGGACATGGTTCCCAAAACCACTGTTTGATGGCACCATGGTAGACAAAGACTTTGAAATAAATGTATCAGGGAATTCACAGGAAATTCACATTTTTTTCAACTAACTTACTTTCCATTTTTGTTTAAAATTCTATAAAATAAAGAAAAAACCCAAAAAAGACCACAATGCCCCTCTTCCCCCAATCAAAACCCAAAAAAACCATATTGTAGCAGCCTATTTCAAATTTAAGTGTCCTCCCAGCAACTGCACAGAGGGAAATCTTATAAACTTGTCATCAGCCAAGAGCTACCAGGGTACCCTGAGGAGGAGCTGCCAATTCTTCTGTTAATGGCCATGACCTCAGGCAGCCTTCAATGCTCAAGGTGGGCTTTTGCAGTAGGACTGATGCCACACTTAACAGCTCAGCAGGATGTATTAAATTACTGCTGAAACATGAAGTCTGAAAGATAAATTAACAAAGAAGAAAACTGAGTTCTGACCCGTTAGCTTGATGTTTATTTATTTGTAGCTCGGTATTTCTAAAACCAGTGTAATTTCTATGTTAGTGTAGAAATTGTTACACCTAATGGGAATCCTGGGAGACTGCTGGCTGCCTCCATGAGCCATTGCAACACCTGCAGTCAGTACGGTTCGTAGGGTGAAATAAATAAAACCAATGTGAGCATTAAGGGTGATTTATAAAAAATTCAGCCGTGTTACTTTCAGCTAGAAGTGAAAACATACATCTTTGCAGCTCACACCATGGCCAAGTTCTTGTCTCTCTGATACAAAGAAGTCTGCAAAACCTAACACCGACCGGGGCTTCACCACTAGATGGCCAACAAGTTCTGCTGAACATGATCGGCACTGCGTGAGATGTGGATCATAACAAACCTGGTTGCAGGATTATTTTTCCTTTCTATGAATGCTGCCCATGACTTCCCATGTTCTGTGTGGACAGTGAACAGCCCTTGGCACAGGCAGGGACACTGTTAAAAACCACATGTAATGGGTAAATTTATACTGATCCTGTATTTTCTGAGCAATACTCTGAGCAGGGCTGCCTGGGGAACAGTGTGTTTATTAAAGCCTTGAACTGTGCTCAGTCTCGTTCGTGACACACCCTGAGTGCCTGCACACTGGCTGCTCCCCACTCACAGTGTGCTCAAGTGCACCCACCCTGTTCAAACACCCAGGGCTACCTTTGGCCACCCAAGCACGAGCTCCTGGGTGCTGCTGGCATCCCAGTGAGAAGCCAAGGGCCGGCTGACATGGCCAGCAAGGAGCGAGGGATGTGCAGTAAGCCACGCTTTGTTCTTTGTCTACAAACCCTAACAATGCCCCAGATTTTTACCATTTTTACTCCTGCTTGGCCCCTCCACTATGAGCTCAGACTCTTTGGCAACACATCCTGCCTGCCTCCAAAGTCCTCATGGAAAACACATTGATCCAGGGCTAACAGGTCAAACCAGCTTGTACCCAACATCCCTGTCACCTTACCTAAGTCTCTCCTGTACAGCAATCAGGCTGTATTACCTTCTTCTCCAGCTGGCTCTGTAGTTAATTGAGACTTCTGATTGCACCCCAATAACAGTCTGTGGCTGCTAAAAGTAGAGGCTCTCTTCCCTTTGGGGTGGGACCCAGGATGTGTCAGCCATGTCCCCTCCACTCTGGCTGCCACGGGAAGAAGAACCAGATGGGGCTCAGGCCCGAGCAGCACCTGCTCAGCCTGGATGAAGGGCTCAGCAGGCCAGCCTGTGACCAGCTGTGGTCCTCCTGTGCTTCTCAGCCCCTGGGCTCTGAGCACAGGATTTGGCTGAGATGGCACATCAGGACAGTCCCACTCCAGCTGCTTTCTGTTGTGTTGACACCAGCACTTGCCTGATTCTGCAGCAAGCCAGTGCAGGACCCACAGTAACGAGAAGAAAATTCTGCCAAAAAAAATCTGAGAAGCTGTTGGTAGCCTGACTCCCTAAGTAGGAGAGTGTGTCAAGTACCTGCACTGACACATGGCAGAGGATGGGAACCTGTGGCCATGGTTTAGGGGAGTGTCA